CTGCCCGCTGCCCCGGGGCCATCAATCCCCCGGAGAGGGACCCGCTCCTCGGTCCTGCGGGACAAAGCCTGGGAACCATCTCCGGCAGCCGCCGAGCCCGGAGCGCTCCCCAGCACCCACCACAACGCACAGGGATGCTCCAAGTGATGCCCTGGAGATCCATGTCACACACTGCAATCTCCTGGTCCCCTCCTCCCCCCGACAAAACGCTCCAGGATGAGGAATGCTCCAATGTCCCAGGCCAGATGGGTGAGATGGATCCCTTCCCCCGTGGGTGCAAGGAGGTTTAACCCCACGGACGCACTGAGCTGTGACAGCCCAAACTGGCTGTTGCCCCTCTGCTCTGCAGCCCAGAAGCCATCTCTAGCCCAGCCTCTTCCCAGGAAAATCCAAAACTGTCAAATTTTGCATGTCCTTTGAGTCTTTGCCAACCTTTCCCACTGCTCCTCACACCTTGTGCACTGGTACCATGGGACATTTCCACCAAACATTTCCCGATGACAAAGCTCAAAGTCCAGCCTGGCCTTGTCCAGACACAGCCACTGCCTGATCCCCACATCTCCCCCCGCCCTCCCATTCCCACATAATTCATTCCCCGTTGCCCCCCTCTCCGGGCTGGGGGTCACACGGCAGGGAGAGCCCTGCTGTGTATTGCATCCCAATTTGCCATGCATTTCCACACCATTTGCTTCCCTTTCTTTTTCCTGCACTGGGAAGCTGCTCACTGCCCAGGGGTCCCAACTGCTTCAGGATGGGAAGATAACAACAAACATACAGGGACACATATTTATTTATGGAACACAGTGTGCGGGGACACTGCTGCCTCCCAAAATGCCCGGTCTGGGGGTGGCACGTGCCCCTGTGATTCCCACATGTGGCCGTGGGGTCCAGACATGATTCCCACGTGTGGCCAGGGACCACCCCATCCTGGAAGCTGCTCAGCTCCTTACCCGGCTGTGGTACTCAAATGATATGCAGATCTCTGTGCTTTAATTGGCTGATGCCTTGGGAAAACAGCCACCATTTGCCCACAACAAACATGGCCACCGTGGCCCAGTCCAGGGAGCAGCACAGCCCTTCTCCCTTCAACAGGCAAAGGGGACTTGGCTCCCCGTCCCTTCCTCTGACAGCAAACCCCAGCCCTCACTACCTAAATAACGCAGGAAGCGCAGCATTCCTGGGATGTCTGGCGTACTTGGGAAAAGCTACAAAATCATGTTCCACCAGATTAGTTCAGGGGTCTGACTCTCATTTTTAAGATGCCAAAGGTTTTCTTGGTGGTTAGTGAGTTTTTTGGCCCCTCTGTCACTTTGCTTGGCGGGAACATGAGGCCAAGCTATTCAGTGTGTGTTCCTGGGTTTCTCTGGGAAGGTGACGCCTCTCTCAGGGATCAGAAACACTGAACTCAGCCTAAAGGCACTTGCAGGTGGAGCCACAACTTCGGCAGCAGCTGGGGGAGCATCTCCTCACGCCCCAGTCAGCCCCCCAAGCAGTGCAGCTCCTGTGGTAGCTCCAGCCAGTGATGCCCAGGGAAGCTCCGTCACTGGGATGGTCCCCTCTGGCTGACTGAGTGGCCCACTCTGCCAGGGGTATAAAGCAAGGAGCCCACAGTAGCCCAGGGTTGCCCAGGACCAGTTCCCAGTAAACCCCTGGGGACAGAAAGGAGATTTCCAGCCCAGGAAACAGCACAGCCCTTTTCACCCTCAGCTCCCCATCAGTGCAGAGACGGGAACTAGACATGTGTGGTGTGGGGGCTACACAGAATTAGACACTGTGCAGGGCTGGCCATGAGGGACCAGGGACAAAGCTGTGAGCACAGCCCCCCAAACACTGATCATGTGGTCCACAAAGACTCCTAAATACCAAGGACTGCTCCCACTTCCGACTTCCAGCCCCTCACCAGCTCAGCGAGCAGCGGACGGAGCACCTCTGCTCACACCAGCCTTCCCTTCCTCACCCTGGGAGGGGAGAGAACAGCAACCCTACCCCTGTGTCCTCATGGGGAGCACAGGGACTCCAGCACAGAGGGACAGCTGGGAGGGGAGCCCACCCAGCATCACCTGAACTGGGGCTCATTCCCAACAGTGTTCATCTCTCAGAGCCAAATCCCTGCAGCCAGGAGGGCCCCACATGCTCCTCATCCCTTGAGAAGCGCCCACGCCGCCGTGATGCCAGAATGTCCGTGCACAGCTCAGGCACACAAGGATGGGAGGTCACACAGGGCTTTTTCCTAAAATCTAAGAGGTGCCGCACACAAAGAGCCGAGCTGGTGGAAGGTAAATGCACTCAAAGAAAAAGTGCATTGCTGTGTTCCAATTCTGTGT